GCCGTTTGGCTCCGGGAGGGACTCCCCATGTGCAGTGCGTCCGGGACCCTCCTGGATAGGTGATACCTTTTGTGTGTGGGCTTGGGATTTTTTATAGAGGTTAACGTCCTAGCGGGTCCGAAGAACCACCGGTCCTGTCCGTTTTGGATTCCGGTGGGCCGGACGGAGTTTGCACTAGACCAGGTCCGAGATTTTTTATAGAGGTGGCTTTCCTCGTAGCCCTCGAAGAGCCGGCGTTCCTAACTGTTGCCAGTCAGGCTTACGACTTGGCCGGACAGTGGTCTGTATCAGACCAGTGTCCACCAACTCTGGACAAAGCCAGCGGTAGAGAACCCGTCCGCCTCCTAGCCTACCCTCGACAGAGCCCTCCGCCTAACAGAGGGACACGCGGAAAGCCTCCAAGCAACCCTCGGGAGGGCCACTCCCACCTCGCCCGAATTGGCCGTAGGCGAGTGCCTCTCCCGTTGCCCAGGGTTCACCACGCGGAGGTTTCGGACCTGATAAAAACTAACGAATAACTTTTAATGACGCTTCAAAAATCTCAGTTTATGACCCAGTTGGCGTTGCTGTCGTTATTCTTTCTACTAGCATAATCTTAAACTATAAATGTCCCAACTATTTCCATTTTTTAATCCTAAGTTTATAAGATAACAAAATATCTCTTTCGGATTTCAAAATCTGCCTTTAATCTATTCTGTCCAATTCATTCCGATAAATTTCAATCAAATCCCAGTGTTGCTTTCAAATTAAGTATCTTCTAAGTATTTTCATGTTATAAGCTTAACATAAAGGATGTTTTAACCTGGACCCTTGGACACTCAGAGATTTCAACAAATGAGACTGCTGATTCATGTATTTTAATACTTGACGATTCAGAAACATATTACTATGAAAATAAACTTCATTTATTTAAAAAAATAAGAAATAAACACCTGAAATAAAAAAAAGTAGTTATAAGATCATTGCGCTTGTTTAGCGGCCCAGTGGTTTCATCACCAGGGACCCATGGGAAATGTACTGGTATGGATATACTGGATAGGAAGAAATACCATACTTACCTACGTAAATTGGAACTACCGTACTTCTTACAAAAGCCTAAAATATTACAGCAAATCAAATGTTACCTTCATAAATTAAGAAAACCACATTAATTATAAAAAAGAGCATAAAGTATAAGACATGGATAACTCTATACACTGAGGGTGTCTTGCCATTACGAATTCTAATTGTCCATAAATAAACTGCAGCGTCGGTAGTTCCTTCACAGGTAGGGCTGCCAACCATCCATATCTATACTAATATTATAAATACGAAAGTGTGTCTATATGTCTGTCTGTTACCTCTTCACGCTAAAACCCCTGAACCGATTTAAATGAAAATTATATAGCGCAATAGGGTAGTTTTTAGAAATCATCCTTTAAAGGGGTGAAAAGAGGGGTGAAAGTTTGTTTGGGGAATCAATAACCGCTGAATCGATTTAGATGAAATTTGGTACCGAGATAGTTTACATCTACATTAAACGTTGCCTTTGCTTGAGTTGTAGGTAGATATATAGGTAGGATAGAAATTGAAATTGAAAAGCATAAAACTTTTAATCGATGGTTTTAAACTATCTCTTGCGTGCAAAGTAATAAAAAACTATGCCATTTCATTTGTATGCGCAGTAGGAAAAATACATAGCGTCAGGATCACCATACACACACAATAGGGACACAGTATAATAGTGTGGGTACATCGCAATAAGAAAATATCAATAATATCGAAAATTTGCAAGAGGATCAATACGATTTGGTTTAGGAAAAATATTTTTATCAAGATAAGTCAAACCTTTTGTACAATGATAACGACTTAAAGCCCTTTTATCATTCAAAAAATGTACTTAAATTATGACGTTGATGGCAATGAAATACATTCATCATTAATTTAAGATCAGCTGTCCTGGTTGCGAGAGTGAACTAACTCATTCCTTTCAATTATTATTTTTTCGATGCCACTGTTATCCTGCAGAAATGTGATTAAATATATAATCTGAATTTCGGAAACGGCTCCAACGATTTTCATGAAATTTAGTATGCAGACGGGTTTCGGGGGCGGTTAATCGATCTAGCTAGGTTTCATTTTTAGATAATTTACCAAAAAAAAAAAATACTGAGCAAAGCTCGGCTGTCCAGGTACTTTAAATTAAGCACGTGACATAATGATGTTGTTAGTAGATGTTCAGGGACAAACAGAGATAGAGCTTGAGGATATTTAGTCAAATAAAACAATGAACTAAAAATAACGTTGTTATTATTATGCTTTCAAATATTTACAAGAAACAATAACATTCTATTTTACAACTATACTGTGAATTTAAATTGCGTTCATAAATAACTAAGGTAATTCGATAGTTGATAACATGCTGCAAGCTGATAACATTTGGAGTAGACAATTAGTATGTAGTAACCACCACGGTGAATATTGTATGATTAGGTTAACTATAAAAGGTAGAGCCCGTAAACTTACATGTAAGTTTTGGTGTATATACTATTACTTTATACAATAGGCATACTATACTATTTAAACAATAGGTACCTACTTTAAAACATCGCAATTATAACCTTATTACTTCAATTGGCCATTACAAAGGTCAAGTATTAAATTAAATTTGAACTAATCGGATAAACGCCCAAATAAAAAAATCTTAAAAATTTTAGTTAACAAAAAATAGTTTTGAGCAAGATACTTAATATTAGTTTATCAATAAAAATCGGATCTCAAAGAAGTCGGGTAAAAATTAGTACACACTGTCTGAAACTAATAGTATATTAATATATATTATATTAATATTTGAAATTAATAGTCTAATGCTGCACGATTACAATTCACTTGTATTAACAATTATAAGCTATAGCTGGTATTTAAACCAAAGATTTAGTAGAATTAACGCACTTAGGTCTAATTTCTAGTGAAAATAGTAAATGAAATCGAATGTTTTCTTCTAATTTTTAAGAATCGCTAACGTAGAAAAATGTTTTATAAAAGGCTCGTAAAATTAGCATTTTAGGTAAGGTGTTGGGTAGTTTGATGGCATAGCGCAGAGTCGATTATCCATTAATGGCTAGTAATTACAATATAAGTCACAAAGTCGTCTTACAAAACCAAAAAAACATATTTATTAAGGGCACAGTATCGGACTGCGTCAACTGTGTTTCAGGCGAGCCTAAGCCGGTGTATTTATTCATATTTCTATGACAAAGTGATCAAGATCGGATACTAGGTACAAGCATTGTGGTTAAGCTAAAGTCTATTGAATAAGTACCTATTTATTTCAAGTTCAAACTGTGTATTGAAGTATTTATTGTATTTTCTTCTAACTATTTTTTTTTGTTCAATAACGTATGCATTAAAATCGTCCCTTAACATAAATAGAAAAAATATGTGTGTCTAAAAATGTCTTTGAATCAGTGTCACTAACGATAGGTACCTCAGACGCTGAAATCCAATCAAGCCGTATAGGTTCTGTTAACGCGAAACGCGAAATCTATCAGCCTGAACAGCTTGATGGATTTAACAGAGCGTGCCAAAGAAATATACATAATATATACACTCGAAAAACACAAAACGCCTAGTGCAGTCGGGTAAAACACTTTTATTTATTCTTTGTATTTAGCTACCTACTCTACTAATGTATTTTGAAAGACATTTACAAAGAAAGTTTGGAATATTTTAGACCAACACTCGATGGAATAGCGTCGGTTAAGAAAAGAGTAAATAAGTATTAACTATTATACATTCTATATTTACAAGGTCAATACGAGATTCTAAATTTTTAATTTACATTTTATATTCATTCATAATATATTGAATTCTAATCTAAAACCCCCTGTTTGTTCTGGTTTAGGATTTCGGCTTTAAGGGCTTTGCCCTGCAAATTTGTTATTGAAATTGCAATTGAATTTATTATGAACTGCACCTTTCACTCCCTATATTGTTTACTTCTAACAGAACTTCATTCTGCTAGGTATATCACACGTGAAAGCTTACATAATAAATATACTAAATAATACATTTAAATTAATAACATTGCAACATACACTCATTTAAATCGTTATGTTTAAGCTTTCTATTTGTTTTATTGTCTGCAATCTATTCTAAAGTACACAATAGAGAGTTTTGCAACATGTCGGAAAACTGACATTTAGTTTAAGAATCCATTTTTATTTAGAAGAAATTTAATTATTTAATTTATATTTGCTTCGGACAAAAAAGTTTAAAATAATAAAACTGACACTTAACCTACTAATTTCTATAATAAAAGTATTAATATAATTAATAATAAGAAATAGTTATATATCATATATGCTCATTTTAGTTACATTTACTTGTAGAATGTTTCTACCTACTGGAGGTATTTAATTCCTAATATTATTACATTTATTAAATTATTACTTACAATGTAAAATCTTAACTTCAGGCGTAGCTCTTTTAAGATATAATAATATATTCTACTTAATGACTAAATTTATTTTAACACTTACTTATAACTTACAAGACTATAATAATAAACAACCATGAGTACGTTTATCACATCACAATGTACCTACTGAAATAAATTGTATTTCTGTCTCTCTTTGAAAAAAGTATGGATACGCAACATGCATTTACATAATTTTTGATTATAGAAGATTTAAATTCGACAAATACTTAAAAAATAATAAATTCATAACTATAAGATAAATTTAACACTCGTTTTTCGTAAAAACGATAACATTTGTGGATAACTTCAAATATAATGGAATTTGAGCTTGAAATGCTCACTATCACGCTGTTAATGATAAATACACATTATGATTTTTAGAATTATTTTAATTTTTCGGTATTATTTGCTTGGCTTCGTATTACTCGTAATTGAGTGCCTGGTGTGCTTTACTACGCAAAGCTTTCTGACAACTTTATCATTAACACCGAAAACTCCTTCCTAGAATTTATTTTTTAAATTAATTTACCTAACTAATTATTCATTGTTCTGCACTTCTGAAAAGATACTGTATAGAGTCCTCGTGGAGGGCAATCATTAACATAATAATACCACCAGTGAGAATACCCATGATAGCTAACACTAAATTAATGCTTTTCCCATTGTTATTTTCATTTATTTCTGGGACTAAATCTGCTAATGCGATATAAAAGAATGTGCCAGCGGTAGCAGCATAAATCCACTGAGAAGCTGACTCATGGTCTTCTGCTAACCAAATTCCACCCGCCATGCCCATGAAACTCAGCACCGATGAGAGTACATTATAATATAGAGCACGTTTGATGCTCATACCTGAGCGGAGTAGTACCGCAAAATCTCCAAGTTCGTGAGGGAGCTCGTGACAAAATACGGCTAAAGCCGTAGCAAATCCGGTAACCGGGTCCCCACAAAAGGCTGCTCCAATAGCCAGGCCGTCAGTTAAATTGTGAAGCCCGTCACCTACTATCACCATGAGTGCTGTAGACGTCATAGGTCTCTCCACGGGAGGTGGTGGTGAACCGGGCATCATTGCTCCAAGTTCTATAGGTTCTATTTGTTTTGCAGCATCAGATTTTAAATCTGTCGCTGGTTTGCTCGAGTCGTGTGAATGAGAGTGACCTCCATTTAACGTTTGCATTATAGCTTCGACACTGTAGAACAACAAAATAGTAAGAAATGTGACGCTACATTTTAAAACGACTTCGGTCTCTTCTTGAGGTGCTGAAGCTGAGCCATGTGATTTAAGAGCATGTGGAAGAAGATGTAAGAGAGCATCTCCGCACAAAGTACCAACAGCAACTGCCACTAGAAAATGCAGCACATGTCCGAATATGACAGATTTGAGCATGGGTACGATGGCCACTCCGACCAGCCCTGTAGCGCTTATTACCAAAATGCTCAGAGTTGCGTATATCCACGCTGAAAGAGAAAAAATCATGGATTAGGTAAAAGTTAAAATAATGATAAAACAAATTGTGTGTGAATCATTATTGTAAACTTACTCCAAAACCTGTCAAGTTTTGGTGAAGGTGCTTCTGTTTTGTAGCAAGAACGTTGGTCAAGTTGGTAAACCAGGGCGGGGCACATTTCCAAGAATGTTTTTGGTTTGATAGTAATAACTCCTGGCTCCTTCTCCATTCCGTACACCTCTAAGATTTCTCTTGGTGACAGACATGATTTTTGCAGTATCGGGTCGACTGAAAGCAGGAAACATTGTCACTTAAAATTGGAACTAAGCGGGCGACGTAATTGCTGGCGATAAATTGAATAGACAGCGAACTTGCTCTTGTCATAAAAAAATGAGTACAAAAATAAACTCACATATCGGTAATAGAAATGTTAGATATCTCAATGATCTAGAGAGTTTAAATTCTACTCTTGGTTTTAGTGATAAGTCTATGATTTTGTACAATGCATATATGTCGCAGTAAAATAGTTATCTCACTAGACTAATCAGCGTAATTGATTCTTAATTAAATAATTGAAAACTCTTGAAACATTGTTCATTTTCTTTGTAATATTTTCATATCACAAGCTTATGAGCAAAGGAAGATAGGCACACAACGCTACAGAATGTACGTACTGAACTACTTATTTTGATAGATTTTATTTGCCTACAACTCTATACTTTTAAAGTCTGATTGTTATAAATATATGCACATATTATTAAATATATGACTAGCTGACCCGCGCAACTTCGTCTGCGTCTCTCAATAGTAATAAATTTTCTCCGTTTTTGAAACATTCTTCATTGGTGCTCCGCTCCTATTGGTCTTAGCGTGATGATATATAGCCTATAGCCTTCCTCGATAAATGGGCTATCTAACACTGAAAGAATTTTTCAAATCGGACCAGTAGTTCCTGAGATTAGCGCGTTCAAACAAACAAACAAACAAACAAACAAACAAACAAACTCTTCAGCTTTATAATATTAGTATAGATTATAAAGCAGCGCAAATTTTATTTTTTGTAACATAACTATGAACAGGCTCCTGATACAAAAGAACGCTGACCGATATTATGTTTGATTATTTTTTTCTTTTATCTTTGCGTGTTTGTTAGCTGCTAATATAGACCTGTCAATGTTTATTTTGTGCAATATAGATATTATTCTTTATCAATACGTGTAAATATAAAATTCTATGATGTAAAGTACAATAAAAGAACGCGGTGAAACAACGAGAATGGTATTTATTTATATAAATTAATTAAATAATCAGAGGCAGAGAGTACCTAAAAGTGCCTTTACTAAAATATTTCGTTTTTATACATATGTACAAAGATCGTAAGCACGTCACTTACTTACGACGAACGAGTTGAATGAATCGGTTAATTCATTTTAATTATCATTTAAAAAAAAACCTCCGTCTTCGACCTCAATTGAGAACTTTTTCCTTTTTTGAAATCGGTTAAAAAGGCCGGAATATGTAAAACACATATGAGGAACAGAAACATTTTTGAGGTTTCTGTCGTTAAAGATTTCTGAAGTAACTGAACGTACTTTCTTCTATATACTAACAACGCTAAAAAAATCGTCATCTTGGCAGGACATTTGACAGTCGTCTAACGGGTCAGCAATTTAAATCAAGTATTAGCTAATCTGACCACATTCTGTAATAAGTGTGCATTTAAAAATATTTATAAGCAACCAGTTGAGCGATGTTATCCATCACATGCCCAGTACTGATTAGTTTCAGTCGCTAAGGTTTTATGAGTTTACCGCCACTAAACGAATGTTTTTTTAGGTTGTTTAAGTGTGATGATATTTTATTGCCGAACAAATATAAGCAATATTTCTTGTTCATTAGTACATACATATTATGTTCAGCGTGACAATAAACAACAATCATTTCGACGGCACGTTTCATTTATGGGATAATGAAATGGATCCTTCTCTGGGGTCAGCCAACTACGCAAGAACCAGCCGGCACACAGGATAATCGCAATTGTAAGGACAATTTGGAGTCCATTGACAGCTATGAATCTCGTGTTATATCAGCAAGAGAGGTATAATCTAAACTTTAGATTAGATAGGTTTAAAATATTAATATACTTCTTCCGTTAGATTCTAAAGAAAGAAGTATATTAATATTTTAAACGGTACAGTAGAAAACTAAATATAAAACGTTTTATTATACGTAAGTCGCTGTTTAAAATGGTATTCGCCATAAATGATTGAAGAAGGATAAAATTTTGATATGAAAATATTTTTCATTTTCCAATACGTATTTTTATTACCTACACACTATTTATTAATATTCTGCTACTAGGAGTGTCTTTCTCAATTTTAATATATATAGAAAAAAACATTCTAATTTTGGTTATTCTTTGTCGAAGTCTCAGGTGGGTAGGTAGGTACTCTCTATTGCTCTAAATGTCTCTGATTTCTGTAAAGGAGGTTAAAAGAATGGGGACTAGAAAAGAAGTAGACTTATAGCGTTATTAAAAATGAACTATTGTATCCATTATTGCCGAGATACATCAATAAGAATAAAAATTGTAAAACCCATGACGCTACGAAAAAATTTGAGAATTAATTTTTTTTTAGCTGACGAAGAAATAACGACATCAAATTCAATCAATTCAGAATAATAGTTTGGCAACTATTACGAGTAATGCAAAATATAGAAACCATATCATTGCTCAACTACTTTTTGTTCTGGTATCCCTTGTATTGCCCTTGTATAATGCCTTGGTATTATTACACTTTAAAACACAATATACCGTGATCAATTTACAGCTTAGAAATAAAGAAAAAACTTAAATATCTTTACGTTGCCCTGTGTAATGAAAAAGTAAAAAATCGTGACTGTCATCTAAGCAGGAAGTAGAACGTTAGCAGCAGTTTTTTGCGCATAGTATATTATTGTAGTTATAAGAAGTCAGTAGGTATTACAGTACACGAATTACACGAAGTATAAAGGTAAATGTTTGGTTGATTGAATCTTGAGGTTTATCAGAAATAAACATTGCGCACATTGTTCATACCCTAACAGAATGACATTAAACTAGTCGTATATTCGTCACGGTCAGAGAATATACAACCAGCTGCCACAATATACTTGGGGTGTACTTTTAAGAAATTTTGTGTACATATTCTTTGTAATCCAAAAGATATCGTGCCAATTACGATGAAGTAAAACGGAGGAAGAAAAATTTAATTTCGCAACTCAAAATCGCTTATTATTGTAATTGATTCTTTTTTTTCATTTAATCTATAAATTAGAAACAAACTAATTCACTTTTTCGCAATTAGTGATTTCAATAAAAAATGTTTATGTTTAGGACAAGACATTACGACAAAGAAGTTATGTAGAACCACTTAAATCTCTTCTTCTTAAGTCTTTTCCGACAAGACTTTTTGTTTCGAGAGGAGGTTAGGACACAACGTTGGAATTAGTCCAATTTGTTAGCAACAGGCCAATAGACACACAGCCTGATATTCTAACGCACGCGTAGGTTAATTCATAGACTGACACATTCATGCCACACATTTTTTTGTGACAGGGTGGAAAATACTAACATAAAAGAATAAAATGTCAAGACATGAGAAACTAGAGTGCATTCATCATCATCATCAGCCTTTAATAGTCCACTGCTGGACATAGGCCTCTCCTAAGAAAGGAGGTTTTGGCCTACTAAGTGCACTCAGTACCAAGACACTATTTACCGTCACTGTACTCGTAATTATCAATATTTAAATGCCTTCTTCCGCATTGCAAACTGCTGTAAGATATTTATTCTAGGAATTATTTATATAGTAATAATTATATACCTATATATTTTAGGTACACACACACTGCATCTGCTGCACATCAATCAAGGTCAATTCAATAATTTTGGTATTAAATTATAGTGATGTGTGTATGTATGATATTAAAAAAGCATAAAAAGTAGAAATAATCAAACTGTGCTACCGTGACATAGAACTTATCGTGTGATTTGATTTAATTTATACTAACATTGTTCACTCAAGGGCAAACTAGACTGGCTTAACACTTTTCTCCCAAGGTGAATGAAATAATTTCCGCCTTTCCATTTAGAAATAAAAATAAAGTTAAATAATAGATTTCGAGGTGTGCCATTGTTTGTATTTACTTTGCTCTTGACTTTGTTAATGTAGTCATTAGAGTTTAAACTTACTTTTAGTTCGAGGAAAAAAACGCCAGACAGACAATTTATACTCATTTCTCGTTAACCTACAACTTACCAAAGGAATTACCTAACCCTATTTTCGCTAACCTATCTCTATCACATAACAATGTTAAATTGACTGATAGAATACTTATATACATTTTTTTTGGAAATACATTTGTTTCGAAGTTTGGGTGTTTTATACACCCAAACTTCGAATCAAATATATATGATAGATCATACAAACATTTAGTCCAACCCGGGAATCGAACTCGAGATCTCAGCACAGCAGTCGCATACGCTACCATTGCATGGTGCAGTGGTAGCGTAGCGATGCGAGGTGGTCAATAGTCATATATATATATATATTTTTTTTTTAATAGTCCAAGATCCCAGAGCCGTAAGACACAACTTATTTTCTAAAGCATATAACTTTCGGTTCTCAGTAGTCTCATTCAGTACTCTCAGTCTCATGGTTGAGTATTTTTTGTGTTTAGAGGGTGTTTGGTCATTGCAATTTGTCTGACTGATTAAATATAACATTGTAATAGTTATTTTAATAACATATAAAAAATCAGACATTTAAAAATAAATTAAGTTCATTTATTTTTCTTAGAGCTTTGAAAAAGTTTTGGCCCATGGAAAGCGTCTGATTTTTTTTGTATGACTTCAGAGTAATATTCTACAAAACATATATAAAAATCAGTTATAAAAATTTAAGTTAAGTAACTCTGATTTTTAGTTACCTTTCTCGCCTGGTACCTGCGTAGGTGTCACCGGGCAAGCTCCACAAACATTCAGGTATTAAAAAGTACACAAGAGACTACTGAGAAGCAAAAGTTATATGCTTTAGAAAATAAGTTGTGTCTTACGGCTCTGGGATCTTACTCTATAAAGCTTTGATTAGTTTGAAACGCCATCTTGTTACAAACTAATCAAAGCTTGTACTATGAAAGCTAGATTGACTAAAAGAATACTTTTATACTTTTTTTTGTACCTAAATACATACATATTATACATAGAAAACACCTATTTTCATGCAGATACAAGGAAACATGTCAATTGCGTCTCTAATATTGAACAGATAATTAATTCATTTGGCAATTTTAGAAATTACACTCACCGGTAGTGGGAGACCTTCGGTGCCTATGCTGTGTGTCGTGCAATTGTCTGAACGTGCCGTTGATACGATGAATAGCTAAGTCATGGGGTGAGGTGAAAACGCGCCCACCGAGACCTAGGCTGTCCAAAAGATGTTCGAAACCCTGCAAAAGAAAATGAATTATTTATTATTTGATTACCTGTATCTCCGTATTGTTTTTAGTATATATGTATTGCATTTGGTAAGTTAATATGGCAAGTATAATAACGCGAGTGAAGCTGAAGTATTGCTCACACAATGGAGTCAATGGCGAATAAAAAATATGTAGGGTTGACCAATCACATATTTATTGGGTTGACAAACTTCCATATAATACTTCAGAAATTATTACATGCACATTGTGTATGTTGATGCAAGAACCTCTCACCCGTAAATTTATAAACAAATAACAATAGTGATGTCATAACTACAGTATCTAGCATAGAAGACCAAACGAACACAATTATTTGATGGGTATTGTGCAGTTATATATATTTATATTATTTACAGGATACTTATAGCTGTTCACTAAGATACACTCTTTATGGAAAAGTAGGCAGAAACATCTATAAAAAATATTTGCCTTGACTGACTGATTTATCAACGCAGAGCTTAGACCGTTGGGACTACAAATTTGACAGTTTGGCAGTTGATGCTTTTTATGTTTTAAACACCCATTAAGAATTTCACCCCTAAGGAGGTAAAATATGAGATGAACAAACCGTTCATCTCAAAGTTTACCTCCTTAGGATTTTTTTAACCATCGCCGCCCATGAACGTCTGCAACTCAGGAGTCACAATAGCGTTGCTGGCCTTTTAGGAAAGTGTACGCTCTTCTCTTGAAGGTTTGAAGGTCATATTGGTCCGAAATTACCGCAGACGATAAACCGTTTCACAGATTGATTGTGCGAGGCAAAAAGTATCTCGAAAAGCACATTTTAGTGGAGTGCCACATCCAGGTGATGGGGATAAAATTTTTGTCATGTGGAACGATGGCGGAAAGTTGCGGCCGGTATTAGTCCGAACAATTCCTCGGAACACTCTCCATAATATGTGCGATAGAGAATACAGAGTGAAGCCACATCTCTGAGTAACGCCAAGGGATCAAGCCGATCGGAAATGTTTGGGCTCGAGTAGCTCTTTGTTGGATGTGGTCCAGAGGGAGAAGCTGATACTGAGGAGCCCCTGCATAGAGATGAGAACAGTATTCCATATGCGGTCGGACTTGGCCTTGTAGAGCCTGGTGGAGCCTTGTAGAGCTGAAGGCGGCGGGTATGGCAATTAGTCATTTTCAAAATTAGAAACATAAAATAAGAAATAATCACGCGACCGAAGCCGCGGGAAGTAGCTAGTAATATAAATTACTATTATATTTTACTCATAAGTTGTAAATTAGTAGCTATAGTCTTTAATGTTTAATTAATAGGCTGCACAAAGAGTCGCCTTATCGATCTACTCTAGTAGACAATGAATGACACTTTTTTGTATGATAGCTAATTATAATAAAGTAATGTTAAAATAAAATGTACGAGATATATCATAGATGCAACAATAGTTCTAAGCTGGTTGATACCTGGTAGATTTTTAAAACAAGTACGATAACCTAACTATAAAGTAATGGACAGAAAAGAGGCTTAATCCAATGAGATTACTTCAGAAGTAAATAAAGACAAATACAAAGAGACAATTTTTTTTTAGAATCAGTTGTAGCTATAGTTACAACGCATAACGACATGCCAGCCAAGTATGCTTTCGAATTACCCTGCAGTGATATTTCAACCAGAAATTAGACTTATGTTATGAACCAAGTAACACGAAATAGATTTCGTATTTTTTTCACTTTCAAACTATGGCATTCCAAAATGTATTATTATGTTTACGGGAATTAACGCGCTCACGAACGTTAACACTATCTGGGATCACGACCAACCTAGTCGAAACGTCAGCCATTTCCAAGGAATGTACTTATACCTATCGTGGCGCTTTAATGATTGCAAACATAATTAAAGAAATAATAATTCGTTGCTGGCCTCTGTACTACCATAAGCTGATATGTATGATGATGACCGTTCGGCTGATAACAGTATTAAAGTATTACAAAAAGTATGGCCACGTTGATGACATATTACCTACTAATCAACATACATCGTATCTTCACGTATAATTCTTCAGTTGGTTTTCGATGTCGGCGCCAAGATTACCCATTTATTCTCTTTTCTATAATCTTTAAAAGCTTTGTAATGAATGAAACCGGTAGGTATATTGTATTAAATAATGTTCAGTTGTATACTCCAGATATGGATGTATACATATTAACAGTACTTGAAAAATACTCGCACATACCATTTCTTTTAGAGACTTTTCTACTGCTAGATAAAGTCACGCGTTTGTAGACCATTCTAGAGATTGTTAGTATATAAATAGTATTCTCATTTAAAAGTCAATAAGAACGTTGACTTGATATTTTCTCTTCAATAATTTCTTTGGTTTGTATTGAAAAAGACTATAGTCAAGGGAGGTCATAAAATAAAAGTTACCTAATTTTATTTACTAGCAACCGTATTTACACAAAATATTGCAATTTTTATGTTTTGTTACTTAATGATATTAATCCGAATACAACCTTTAATGGTATTTTAGATAAAGATAGCAAAGATGAAAAGTGGAAAGTGAATTATTGCAATTAAGGCGAAATAAGACAACCTGCTTATTGGTAATTTTTCTAAGCTTAGGTATGACAACTTATTTAGAGAGACCGATACGGAGTCAAGTTGAAGGGCAATCTTGTTCAAACGTGTTTTGATAAGCCAGAGATAAGTGCAAATCCTAATCGTTAAGGCCAATCGTATAACGATATTGATAAATGTTTTACAAATTGTTTAAATATATAAATATAGAGTCGAGTCGAATTCGTGGACCAATGGCATCGCACAACACTATACTTGGTAGCTAGGTACTTCGAAAAATTTACCTCAAATTAAATTATTCCATTAGCTGTAAATTATCATACATATTTACTATTTTAATCTTTGAAACTTTTTCTGATTAATAAATATGCATGCAAAGCTATTATTTTTATATTTTCATTATAAGACATGAAGATTGAAGACGTTAAAAATCTAAATATTATAAGCAAAGTGACAATATTTAAATTTAAAGGTAGAATGTTAAAGGTGAATGAGTTCGATATACCTAATTAATATTGTTGTGATACTGACCAGTTACTCCTATTAATTATTAATTAAATGAATTCCGATATTTTTTAGTCATTGTCGTCCGAGCCTTTTCCCAAACTAGGTTAGGGTCGGCTTTCAGTCTACTATGACACGTCTGAACTATGATTTTTTTCGTGGAGCGACTTCCATTAGACTTCCACAACCTTCAACTACCATTAACGATTGCCGCAGATATTCATATGGCAACCGGGCCGAGACGGCTTAACATGCTCTTCGAGGCTCGGAGGGGTGCCTGGCTGGGATTGCTTAACTTTACAATAATCTACTCCACTTATAAACACTTAGCCACGAGCGCTTCGACGTTCGTTGTTAACCTGATTCCAAAATATCTATTCAATCTTCCGTCAGGCGCAGTCGGCTACGTTTAGTGTTGGACTGGGGGATAGTCATGCGTATGTCATGTCACTAAGCAAGCAAGTTAATTAATTCTGTAATATACCTATTGTCGCAAATAAAACTATGTTGTATAATACACTTATGGTAGGTAAGCCGGTTTCGAGACCACCTGCAGTAGGCGACCATTTGACTACCTAAGTTCCTTTAAGTCAAGATAATAGCATCTAGAAGTAACATTAATAAAAAACAAATCTTATGCGTTTTTTAAACAGTAATCAAATAAGAATTTACATAGTTTGAAAATTGATTTATCCCAGCATCGAAAAAAAATTGGTCAATATGCGAGACGATTTAGTGGTGTGAATTATTGATGATTTAAAACAAAAATAGTTTAAGCAAGTTTAAGTACTTATTTCATATTTCACATGCAAGTTCTGTGTTTAATTAGAACAATCGTTAAGTTTTTGAAATTTTCAAGTTAAATTTTATGCAATTGTATAGTAAGCGACTACCAGTTTATATAAAAAAAAAAGTTCAATTTACCTACAAACATAGGCTATGAAGATGGTCGATAACCAACACAATTGAAATAAAGACATTATTTGCGACGTCAAACTTAAATAAATGTAATCATTTGTAATATTATAATAATTTGTTAAGTGCGATCACGTGTATTTTATGTGTGTTATTGATTTAAATGTCTGTTTAATCACTATTTTAGCAAGTATCAATGTCGTCCTAATTTGACGAATGCTTAAGATGATTACTTTTCCGTTTATACTATTAGAATTAGGCACAAAAAGTAGACAATAATTTAAATGACATGCTATCGACAAACCTGCTAAATCTCCTAAAAATACCAGGCCATCCCGATATATTAGGTATACCGCGTAGTTAGTAACTGAAGAATCCCTAACTGCTCCTTGAAAGAGACTAATAAGAACTAAGAATGCACAAAGAATGATACCATTCTTGGCAAATCAGGAAATGAATGGATTCTTTTGGATGTATGTTTTGAATATAGTACTAACCACCATATAGTACGACCATCGAGGTCACAATTCGCACATAACATTGGTTTTGAGTGCCATGCGGGAATCTTGCAATCATTTTATATCCTGTACCTCAAACCACAATCCACAATCAATCGAAACTAAAAAACGCAATAATTTGTATTTTTTTGACTATACTATACTTGGGATTAATTTTTACTAACACTGGTCGCTAACTGGCGCAATGACCCTTCTTCATCATTAATTCATATGAGTAAGTGAGGTTAACGGAGCCTCGCATCCCCTCCCCTAATCGTGGGGCAGGTGACCATCGGCGGTGGTAGTCACTTACCATCAGGTGACCCGTCTCCTTGTTCGCCCCCTATACCATAGAAATAGTAATAAGCATCAGTATCATTGAAGTTTAAAAAGCCTATCTTTTCAGGGGTTTATTTCCACAACGCAAAAGATTAGTTATTAGATTAGATGGTTAAATTGTTTAACAACCGTCATAAAATTATGTAACATATTGAACTGTGTAAACTATTCTCATAATTGTT